ATTCTGCGGTTACAAGCCATTGAAGAGTTACATTTTGAAGTTCCAAATCGACATGAATCTCTTTTGATGTTCAATTTATGTGACAAACTTCCTGGAGGTGATGTAATACTTGAAACATTAGCCAGTTCTATATCATCAAGGACTTCAGATCGAACTAACCAACCTGGCACAAGTAGAGGAATGCATGCTGTCCTGTCAAACCTGGGCATGGTATCACCAGTTAATAGTGGTGAGAGATTGTTTGTTGGTGAGATAGTTGTTGGGGAAATTAGTGCCTTGCAGAAGGCTGTTACTGACTCAATGAACAACTATAAGAAGGTTGAACTGGCCCAAGCCTCGGTTGATGGAGTCAAAGTTGATGGGCTTGATACAAACTTAGCAGTAATGAAGGTAAACTAAAAAAACATAGACGATCCTTTTCGCCTTTCAGTTATTTACTTTAGATTGTGTCGTGTTGTCGCCTACTCTGTTCCTGTAAAGCAGGCTCTCATTTCATTCTGTTTCCTGTTTCTTTTATTTAATTCCTAAACGTGTTCAGGAATTGTTATCCCCAGTAAGTGAGCTTTGGAGGGTTTTGCTATTGCTCACATCATGGGACGAGCCTATGAAGTCCATGGTGTTTTGCTTTCTATTCTCTTACATTATCTTCAGGTATCCTCCTTTCTCCATGGATATTCTTCTGCTATGTTTATGTTAGAGATGCTGCTTTTTCCATAGTAGCAAGTATTGGCCATTTTATGTACAAGGGAAGTTCATGTTGGGATGTAATAATAAGTTAATAACTAAGATTCTAAGAAAATAGCTCATGCAACAATGGGCCTATTAAAATAAACTTATGTGACTGCTAGCAATTATTGTTATTTGGAGAATCTGTGGCTGGCTGTGGTTCACAGAGCACCTTTTCTTTGCACTTGGTATATTGATGGTGCCAGAAGGTGAACCAACATTGAATTAAAGTCATTATTTTATCTCTATTATTCTGCCCTTGTAATCACAATGACCTTTGGTGGTTATTGTAGAAGCTTCATTTATTTGAAATGGAAACCAATACTTATGGCTGGTGAGAAGGAACTAAATCACTGTCTGGTTAATTTGAGGTCCTTGAATCATATGAAAGAAATAACATCTAGATACACATGTGCACATGAGCATGTGCGCACTCTCATCTCATTTCTTTGTTGGGTCTGGGACCAATCTATTTCCTTATAGGTACTTTAGTGACAACTTGTACTATAGTTTTAGTAATGTGTACCAGAGTTGATGAATGTGAAGGATGTAGCTGGTTAATATTACTGGGCCAATGATAGTCCAATAGTGTGTTCAGCCAAGAGCAATTTTAAAACATTTTGTCAAATTTGATAGTTCGCCATTGATACTGATCCTTCTAGGTCAATGGAATGTGGACACTAGAGAAGGTGAACAGTGGTGTTTGTCTCTTCCTAATCCTGATTTCCTTAGCACAAAGCTGTTTTGTTTCAGTTTCTTTGTTAGCACTCTATTCTTTGGGGAAAAAAGAGCCGTTTAGACTTTAGAAGCAAGTTTAAAAAAAAAAGACTTTAGAAGCATATCACAATAAAGCGAGTATGGTAACTATGCTTGATTGGCAGTAATTGAACTCTTCAGTTGGTTTAGCACTCATACATTTTGTATGAAGCTACATCTATGGTTACCAAAGGGATAATGTAGTTTTATACTAGTAATCTGAACTGTATATTTAAATTCTCAGATATATTAATCTTAATTAGATTTGCTAATAGTTCATAATTTGCTACAAGTCATCAATTCTCCTTAGATTTCTCCACATTTGTGATGTGTCTATGTTTCTTTGCTGACACAGGGGGTGGATAATCTATTTTATTGTCACGGTGCTATTGTTTTCAGCAACTTTTATGTTTCTCACAAGATTAACTAATCAAGGAAAGCAAATGAGTGAGGTAAAGGTGGTATCCCCACCTCCATTGAACACAATGGAGCAGCTCCTAGCTGTTCAAAATGCCATTTCTAAAATTGAGGAGCTCGTCCAGGATGCAAATATTGTTCTTCTGAAGATAAGAGCTCTATTGTTGGCTTTTCCATCCCAGGTAATTATATTAGTCCTCACTCCATCATTCTGAGGAATTCTTTTATTATACAGTTTTGTTTTGAGGAACGCTATACTGTGAATATATTCCACCAATTCTATTATCTTTCATGGTATCCAGCTTTGCCCCGGGAGAGATCGATCATGGGCAGCGCCTTCAAGCAGCAGATCGGGCCTTCTTGCGGCCACCTCGTCACCCTCGCCGTGGAGGACGCTGGATGGCAGCGGGATCAATAGGATCCGGCGCCTAAAGGGGTGGCGCTGCCCCCTGCGGAGATTGCTCTCCCTGAGGGTGTGTGATGCAGAAGCTGGCGGCAGCTAGGGTTAGGATCTAAACCTAGACTCGTGATACCATGTAAGAGGAATAGAATTGGTGGAATATTCGTTGTTTTGCATTAGGCCTCATGGGCTAATTATATAGGCTACATAAGACTAACACCCCACATGGGTAGACAATGTGGTGCTATCCCTATTTATTCTAACAGTGACATACATTATGTAAGTGCAAAAGATACCCCAAACTACACTATGATTCACAGTAGCAGTGAGAATAAAGTAATCTGTGCTATGTTATCATATGCAATGCTTCATGGAATTATTACCTGAGAAAATAAATGAAATTTAGAGTTCTTTGGTCATTAAAGTATTTGCATTGGTCTGAATGACTGACTGACTCTGGTGTCAAATTTACTATTCTGATGCTAAAATTATTGCAAGCTGTTTTTGTTATGTGGTAGCTTTATGACGACCTTCTTCGAAGAAAGGCTGCTCTGGTGATGTGCTCCTTCAGACCTTATAATGAGAGATACTTCTATAATCTAAGTCATGGCTTTTGGCTTGGCTAGATAGTCTTACCCAATTTTTCTATCTGCCCGTCACCTCTCTCTCTTCTCTTTGGTCTCTGGTTGTGTTCAATAGAAAAAAAATTAATCATTACCTGGAACATGTGTTCATTTTCTGGACCCATATTTGGGAATCTAGTAATTTGATTTGGTTGCCGGAATGGCTTTAATGTGTCAACGTCTGCTACAAAACATGACAAGTCTAATTGGTGCTTCATTAGTTGAGACTTGAGAGGTCAAGGCTTTGTATCTTGGTTGGAGTTTTTTTTTCAGAAATGAATAATTGTGGTTAAGCTATCTCCCCTAAACAGCTTAAAAGTAGAGCTTCCCTGGGTTTGGTCCTCTTTTATGGTTAAATATTTGTTCCCACATGTCTATGGAACCTAACCTCCAAGTTAATCATATCAAGTCACTTTCAAAATAAATAAATAAAATCAAGTCAGCTCTGCTGATTTAGGTGATACCCTTCAAGCACCCATAACTGGACCTGATTGAGCTCAAATTATTGCAAGCTGGACCTGTCTTACCCAAGGACTTGTTTGAGTGCGTTTGAGAGTTTTCTGATTGTCCTTAACTGGATTTATCTTACGCATAAACAGTCATTCATTTGCCACAAGCTGGATCTGTCCTATGAACAGTCATTCATTGCCCTATTAAACCTCCTGATTTCCCTACCAACAGCTGGACAGGTCTGGTTTTCTGAAGCCATGTGCGTTGTCAGCTCCGTTACTTGTTCCTGTCAAGTTTTCTGCCAAATGCTATAACCTGTATGCATAATAGGTTTATAAATAGAATCTCTTTCGAAATTTCATTTTGTGTTTCTCATATCATAGGCGACGGACAGAGCTATTCTGGCATTGGTACTGATGGCCCTGAGCCTTGCCATCGTGCCCACAAGAGTGTTGCTGCTGGTGGTGTTTCTGGTGGTATCCACTCACCACTCAGCACTACGAAGAGCAAGCACAGAAAGGTATACCAGAAGGTTGAGAGAGTGGTGGTTCAGCATACCTGCAGCTCCAGTGGTGGTGGAGAAGGTGAAAGAAGACAAGAAAACAAGATGATATCTGTGTATATAACCAATGTAATCTTGTGTCTCCTGCTTGGCTGATGCATTGTGTGATGTATCAGCCAATGCCCACCTCTGTGCAAAAACCGCTATATCAACAGCGAGGGCAGTTTCAATGGAGATTCTCTCTTATCGCAGTTGCCCTGTTAACATGACTCTTAGGTCAGTCTCAGTGGTGAGTTTTTCTCTCACTTATATCAGCCAATGCTTTGTTGGAAATTGACTAGAGCCGTGGCCGATGTGAATCGCCATTAACATATATTCGTTTCTTTGGGTTGGACATATCCCCGTGTGGACCTGCGCTCCTTCATTTGTGCAAATGGTAACATAAAGTTAATTTGGTCTGATTTCAGTTTCCACTATGACTTTTTTTTGGCGAACCAAACAAAATAACTGCGTTGCCTCCCCATTTTCATTCCCACATGGAGTCTAATTTGAGGTTTTGCAATCCATCTAGTCAAGTCCTCAAATCCAGCGATTTTCGTATTGCTCAATAACTTGTGCAATACTCCCTGTCCCAAAAAAAAATGAGACCATAGGTTCCATGCTAGTTAAAGTGGCTCATGGTAATTAATATAATGGTAGTTATTTAATATCATAAATATTGATCTTTTTTTATCTATATAATTAGTCAAACTTAAGGTACTCAAACATGACACTGTGGTAGAATTACATTCTTTCTACAATGGAGGGAGAATTAATAACGATGTGATTTAAAACAACATGAACCAATCAGTATGGCATGAATTTTCCGGTGCCGACTCTTATTTTGCTCAAACCAAACTTCAAACCTAGGCAAGGGATAATACGTGCTCAACTCATATTTGACTTCCCTTGTGATACAACTTCATCAGTTGAGACACTATGTTTCAACCAAACAAGATTGAAACAACTTCACTTCAGCTTCTGTACAGATGCTGTGTTACAAACAGAAGAGGACGGTGGAATTTTAAGACAGTAAGTTACGTAAGTATTAGACAACCAAGGATGAGGCTGCAAGGAATATTTTCACTCAAAACTCTTCTGTGAAGAAGGGATGCCTCAGCGCCTCCTGTGCTGTCAAGCGATTTGCTGGATCATACTCGAGCAGCCCTTGCAAAAGGTCAATAATATCCCCGGCAGACTGATCCACATTACGCATCACCAGACTCTGCTCATGAAACGTATACATAAATTTCACACGCCGCAGAGTAAAATGGACGCTTTGTCTAGTGAAGACATACCTGAAGCCTGGGCATTTTGTCACAGCTTTCGTGCGCTCCCATGAAGTGCAGCCCCCAGGCCAATTCAGACGTCCTTCTTTGATGTATTTTGTGGAGTGGCGACTACAAACAAAGGGTTAATGAGCACCAAACATCGACCAGAGTACCAGACCTCACAAACAGTCAAACACTGAAGCTCAGACAGACTACATTGACATGAATCATAGACATGAACATACTCTGCCATCTTAAGCATATGGTATGGCAAAGGTCCAAACACCCTCTCCATCATAGCCAGATGTTCCAAGTTTTCACCAGTCTGGAATAATGCCTCTCCCTGTAAAACTTAGCTAACTCAGATCCCCTGTACTTGTGGTGCATGGAAAATCAAAATGAGGCCCTATACGTACCATGCAAAGCTCAACAAGAATACAACCAACACTCCAGATATCACATGGGTAACTCCATCCAAGCCCTGAACAGAAGATCCATGCAGTCATAGAAAGTCACCGAAATCAGGCTGAACTTGGAAAATTTTCACTGGATAAGACAGATACCCAATATAACTTCTGGAGCCCGATAATGCCTAGTGGATACCACATAACTCTGATCCTGTCGATCATAGGTAGCGCTACCGAAATCAATCACCTTGATAGCATTGGACTTGGGCAACCACTTATAATAGGTTCCCTCCTTTGGGGATCGGAATGAAGCCTAACAATTAGAGAAAGGGATCAGTAGCATCTCTTTTTCAAACTTCAACAGCCAATACACCAGAATTAAAATGGCACAGCAAAAGGTAAATCATGGCTAGGTCAATCAAGTAAAAGAACAAAGTATACTTTGTAATCGGGCACTTTAATGCACTCTGGAGAAACAAGAAGAATGTTCTCAGGCTTTAAATCAGTGTGTATGAGGCGCAATTCATGCATAACTGCAACACATTAGAGAGGGTAAATATATAAACATCCCATAGACATTAGTATATATTCCTTAAAGAACCATGAAACATAGAATAAACAGAAGTTATGGATTAATGAAACGCTGTAATGCATCAAAGATAATGCTTGATACTATTGTATGCATGGTAGTGCTGAGGGGTAACAGAGAGAACTGTGCACACACATGCTACACATTCCAACAGTTGTTTGGCAACCTCCCGAACAAGGGCAATTGGGAATGAGCGGTAATAGTTTTTCCGCAGAAAATCACATAAGCTTGGTCCAAGCTTCTCAAAGACCTGCTCACCATTCATCCAAATTCGCCAAAGTTTAAGCACCACCCGATTGTCTCTTTGAGTCAGTTCATAATTGCAATAATCTAACAATGAACTTACAATGCAGATATGGTTACGATAATCAAACCAGTTCCGTATTTGAACATAACTGCAAAATGGAACAACTTATATACACAAGCAATCTTATGAATGTAGAGCACACAGAAAGGTGCTAACTGAACCAAATGACTCACCTGGATCTACTTTTATCATATTTACCAAGCTGCTCAAGCATGCCAATTTCTATCATTGCAGCATCCCTGTACGTTTTAGTGCCTCTTGTGATCTTGATAGCCACCATTTCTTTCCTTTCCCTGTCCCAGCACTCCAACACCTGACCAAAGGTACCTGATGTATTCCAGAGACATTCAGTTATGAACATAATCTGCTGCATCAACAATTGCAGCATGCCCAATACAATGAAAGAGTTATGCATCAAAGGTTTCAGAAGATGCATCCATCCAAACTGACCTTGGCCCATTTTTGCATTGATCCTATCTGCAAACATGAAAAAGAATCCATAAGAACCAACCATAGAAACTAGTATGTGCATCGAAAAACCAAATCATGGTGATAAAATGAACTAGCCAATTGCAAAAGGGGTAGTATGAAGTAGGTAATTACAGCGAGATGTGAGGTTATCTCCAACAGCAAAAACATAACGCCCATATTTGTCATCTTCTCTCAGTGGAGGGGACTCATCACGAGGCTGCTCTTGGTTCACAGGAGAGGAAACAATAGCATCCGAAGAGAAGCCCAACTCCACAGCACTGATGGCATTTACAACTTCTTGCCCACAAAGGCCTATCTGAACCTGCAAAAGAGAACCAACAAATTATCCATCTAACTGAGCTCATCAAGCAACCAAATCACTACTTCATCCTGCTACAGCCAGTTTCTAGAACAGCAATTTAGAAAGGGGAAGTGTGTTACTTATCTCAAAACATTGGATAAATCATAAACAGTTCCACGTAAAAAGCTGCCCAAACGTGTTCCATGCAACTACCTGGCGACCTGGGACTGAATCACAGTGCTTCTTGCTCCTCTCACGCTCCACGTCGGCTAGAAGAGAAGCTGCAATGTAGTAGTCATCATCATCGGACTCCTCTTGCTCCAACCATTGGTCAAGGATATCATCATCGTCGGAGAAGGCCATCTACAAGTTGCAAAAACTATAAGCAAATTGACATACTTTTCTATGGACAAAATTGCCAAAAATTGCAAAGATAAGGAAAATATTTATCAATGCACAATGACAAATCAATCATTGCAAACAAAAAAAACACAATTTGCCAATTTACATTATTACATATCACAATGACATGCACGACTATGGACAAGTTTCTACGCCAAACTGTGCAAATTTCTGTTACAGTTCATCCAATCCATTTCAATTTCTACACAAATTCAGGTAAATGTATCGACACCACAATGATTGAATCTACGGCAACAAGTACTGGTATTTGAATTCAATAGATCCGCCACCTAACCCTGGCTGGAACAACACCAACAAATGCATGTGAATGGAAAATTGGCACCTCCAGCGAGCAAAGAAACAATGCCAACTACCGCTGATCGATAAGGGAAAAGGTAACTGAGGGTTATACCTGATGCATCTCAGCAGGGCCGACGTCCCAACCGAGCCGCGGCCGCTTGCACGGGCGGCAGTCCAGCAGTGCGCGTGGCATCTCGGTGACACACTCTTTTGCAAAACCGATCTGGCGTCTTCTTGAACTAACACTCGAAGAGGCAGCTAGGTGGCAGTGGCTGGATTGGTCTCTGCGTGTGGGTAATTGTGACTGATCCTCCATAAGCTTAGCATGTCTGGACTTTTTCCGACAAACCAAAGCACGCCTTCGCAGAGAACCACAATGTTTGGGCCTCTTGTTGCTCATAGTGGCAGCAAACAAAGATAGTATCATCATCTCAAACTCATCATCATCATCTGACGAAGAGTCTTCAAAAAACAACTTTAAGAGCGAGCTCATCTGCACAATCAACAAAATTCAATAAGAACAAAGTAGCAACTGAGGGGTACTTTCATTGCTCATCTGATAAACTGGAAAATAATTAAGCAACCGTTGTGAGAATTGAAATGATATGCCCTTATAGCACTGAAAAGTATATGTGATGTTACACTCCAAATACTACAAGTTGAAGGAGCTCAACTTGTAATAATATTAACACGAGTAAATTAAATGCTTTGCCAGTCCGACAGGAGCACAGACTCGTATGTGTGATCCCAATCCAATCAAAACACGAGGAAATGCCGTGACCTAAGTACAAGGAACCCTTTCAGGTGCTCTATCACGGGATTCACGGGGGGTGTCGCTCCGTGGAATAGATTGATGAATGAATCCATTGATATGTCGGGGCGATTCGTCTTACCTTAGCATGCAGCCTGACGAACTCGTGGGACAGGAGAGCGCGCGTGTGACGGTGGCAGAGAGGGGAAGGGCCGGGGTGGCCGGAGATGGGGTCGGCAACGGTAACGCCCACAGTGACCCAGCCACCCAGGCGCGGTCGGGGGGACGGAGCAGCTCTCGCACGGGGCGAGATGGGCGGGACGTGCGGCGGCGTCGGGCGGGAAAGGAGGACAGGCGCGCGCAAAAGCCCAAGTATCTCTCATATCTGTATCTCTCCGAGCCCAAATTTTCGTAGGTCATCTCATTATCGCGCGCTATGTACTTCCTCCGTTCTGTTCTAAAAAATAAATTACTGCCCGGCAAAAAACCCGCTACGGAATAATTAAGACATGTGGGGACACCACCGGGTCTCATGCGTGCAACTTCAGAAATGGGCTGAAGGAAAACAAAGTCCACATCAAGAAGCAGCCCACAAAGACAGACGAGACACACGACTGATGACAAATAAAAAAACAGTCGACAAATAGATAGAAATTTCGTTATTAGATACTAGCAAATGTTGCAACGGGTCTGTCTAGCATTTTTTGAAACGAATTGGTCCGTCTAGAATCGTTTAGACCATTTCTCAAACGGTAGTCGATCCGGACGGGGTCTCGATCTTTCGTCAGCTGCCAGATAACTATCGATTTGGAATAAAAGCGACGTAATGATCCAACTTCAAATCATAAAAACTCGAACCCTGAAATCTTAGCACCACATTTTCTCTGGTTATCAATCATATCGCAATCCAGTTGACCTCGTCAAGAAGGCTAATCCCTGCTGCAAATCGAAGAACACAAGCAAGAACAAGATAAAACACAACTCAATTGAAGTGACAATTGTAGATGAATGATTAAGCACTCGAAGTTGGGGTCTTGTAAACCGATAACGGCGACTGTTCAATGACAGATTGATTTAAAATAAAACCCAAAATCTAACGTTGGCGGCGGCTTCTGATTATATAACCTAAGAGGCGTCCAAGGACCTCTATTCGCGTCCCTAAGAAGTCCAACACGTTACAAGGCCCAAAAGATGGCGACGCAGCGGCGTCCTGACAGATTCTGGACGTCAACTTATTTTGACGATTCCCATTGATTCTGAAGGATTTTTGACGTGAGACCATTTTCATTGGTTAGATTACCAAAATAGCTTTCCATCCATATATGGATCGTTGAAAACAGAGTCCGTTTGTGACTTGGACGTCCGTTTTACTACATACTACTCCTGGAGCCTAAGATTGACTTGAATTTCACATGGATTGGGCCACCAACTTGGCTGGGACGTCCTTGCTTGCCTTCGAAGGTGGTGGCCAAGAAGGAGGACGTCCTTGGACATCTCTGAGGTGTTCTCTATCTCGTTGGGCCGTGGTCCATCTCGGGCCAGGTGAAAGTTCTAGTTTGGTTTTGGTGAATTGATGAAACCCTAAGTGCTAACCTAATTTATCTAAGTGATCATGAGATAGGTAGCACTATTCCAAGTGGCGGAGCAATGATGAAGATCATGATGATGGTGTGACCATGGTGATGATCAAGTGCTTGGACTTGGAAAAGAAGAAAGAGAAAAACAAAAAGCTCAAGGCAAAGGTGAAATTTGATAGGAGCTTTTTGGTTTGGTGATCAAGACACTTAGTGAGTGTGATCATATTTAGGATATATAGACGTACTATTAAGAAGGGTGAAACTTATATCAAAATGCGGTTATTAAAGTGCTACTAGATGTTCTAACTCATTGCATATGCATTTAGATATAGTGGAGTGCTAACACCCTTGAAAATATTTGTGAAAATATGCTAACACACGTGCACAAGGTAATACGCTTGGTGGTTGGCACATTTGAGCAAGGGAGGAGAAGTTGGTGAAGTGAAGGATGTGATTGTCACTGTGAAGCAGTGACTGGACACAGGTCATGAAGTGACCGGACGCTCAGGCGGGTGAGTTCGATCAATTTTATAGAGGCCGAGGCAGTGTAACCTAGGGTATTGCATCGGACGCTGTGAAGGGCCGCTCTAGAACCTCTCTGGAAATGACCGGACTCTAGACGTAGATGCATCCGGTCATCTCAGTAGAGCGTTCAGTCAAAGGGTGAAGGCTTGGGCGCGCGCGGGCTGAAGTGAGCACCGGCACGTCCGGTCGTTCTTTAACATGCGCGAGGAAGCGAGTTGACCGTTGAAATCGTACGCGCGAGGTTGAACACAGGAGACACATGGACGGTGATCGGTGACCGAACGCTGGGGCTTGTGCATCCGGTTAATCTAATCGGTGCGTTCGGTCGCCTCGAGCTGGGCTGCTATGAAAGCCCAACGGCTTTATTTCGTGGGAACTTCTATTTAAGCCCTATGGCCGGCTCAAGCTCACTCTCTTGGTCATTTGCATTGACATAGCAATCTTGTGAGCTTAGCCAAAGCCCTCCCACTCATCTCCATCATAGATTTATCATCATTGTGAGATTGAGAGTGAATCCAAGTGCATTGCTTGAGTGATTGCATCTAGAGGCACTTGGTATTCGTGTTTCGCTGTGGATTTCGCTTGTTACTCTTGGTGGTTGCCACCACCTAGACGGCTTGGTGCAGCAAGGATCGTCGAGCGGAGGAAGGTGCTTGTCTCCGGCACCGATTGTGGTGATTGTGAGGGGTTTTTGACCTTTCTCCAACACAGAGCCAAAAAATACTCTAGTGGATTACTCATGGCTTGTGTGATCCTCATCTTGTATTGGTTGTGTGGTACCCTATTGAGAGGTTGGCGTGTGATGCCAATTAGCGCATGAACCTCCAAGTGAGTGTATCGCCACAATGAGGAGTAGCTTGCCGACAAGCAAGTGAACCTCGGTAAAAAGTCTTGTGTTATCTTGTTCGAGGATCTCTTGGTATTTATTGTGATTGATTGTGACTGATTGGCTCAATTTCTCTACACGGTGGTATAATCATCACATCACCCACCTCGTATTTACATTTCTAGTGTTGCTTCGCTCTTTACTGTAATTAGTTTTGAGTCGGGTCTAGTGGTTAGTTTGGATCTTTAGTTAGTCTTTGAGAGCACACTAATTTAGTGTAGTAACTTAGCCATTGTGTGCTTATAGATCATAGACACTAGAATTGTGGTAGGTGACTTGCTTTTTAGTAGGCTAGTGCAACACTCGTTTCGTCGTTTAATTGTATAACATCTTTGCTAAGTGTTGTTATAGAAATTTTTAATATGCTATTCACCCCCCTCTAGCCATTAGGACCTTTCACTAGGGTCCCAAAGGTGAATATGAGACCCACGACGACGACATAGCTCTCGGCAGAAACAACAACAACTTGTGATGATGATTTGGAGGCCTTGCTGACGTGATATTGAGATGAGACCAGATCTATTTGAAAGCTTATCAAACAAGCTTTTCCATCAAGTGCTCATTGACCTCAATCACACTTCGGATGGAAGAGTTATAGCCTTTTCAATGAAGTATTGTTAGGCTGTCGTCGAACTGAAAGTTCAACTTTGATGGACTTGCACTTTGATACACATTTGTAGCTAAAAGCAAATAATGACATGTACATATGGAACCAAGTGAATTGTAACAAAAATCACTATGCAAATGTAGAAACGATCTCACCTTAAAATTAATGGTCATGTCCGAAGGTGACATGTTCTCATCAGTAGTGCTAGCGCCCGGACGTCCGTCCACGTGGGCCCACGCCACTCTAGCGACAAGAGGGGAAGGACGTGTGGCGCCTCCGATTTGGAAGGACCTGGCCGCGGCGTCGTATGGATGCCCTACCGGCATCAGGAGAAACGATGCAGCAGGAGGTGGGGAGGAGAGATGCAACACCCGATCTACTTTTGAAACATCCAAATACAACAGTTGCAACATACGTCTGAAGGCAGTTGAAACATTTCAAACATGCTATGAAACATTTGAAAAGAACACCTGAAAACACTTGAAAACCATTACAACCATACATGACATCCAAATAAACACACATACAACGTATGTGTGAAACATATGCAACATCCAGATAAACACACTTGCAACACGCGTCTAGAAAACCACATATGAAACATACCTTTGAAACACTCGAAACATACACATGCAACATGCCTCTGTAACAATTGCAACAATGCAACATATGCAACATCTTTCGATCTACTTTTGCAACATCCATATGAAACAAATACAACATACATCTGAAATGCATGAAAATACTTGAAACATACATATGCAACGTAGGGGAGGGAAAGGCTGGGCTGGTCGATTTCGACCGCCGGGGTGGGGGAGCTCAGTCACCGGGGTGAGAAAGGGCGGCGCCGGGGTGGGGGGAGAGCTGCCCACTCCCCTGCAACACCGCTGCGCCACCTCTATAGATCTCGCCGGGGTGGGGGAGAGGACCATCGGATCCGCGGGCGTTGGGCGCTCCCAGTGGGTCAGGATGCCAGGGTGGGGGAAGATGACGCCAGGGTGGGAGAAGGAGCTGTCGAAATGGGGAAGAAGGACGCTAGGGTGGGGGATTGCGCACGTCGTGGTGAGTGAGGGCGCCGCCACCAGCCAGGGAAGCAGCCATGGCCACGTCGTTGGTGTGGGGCAGGACGCGAGCGAAAGGGATAAGAATGGGGAGGAGGCGAGCGCGTGTGTAGACGTCTTAATCATATCATTATCGTTTCTAAAAAAAATTGTTTAGACCATTTCTCAAGAAATTTGGCCTCGATAAAGGCGGGCAGAGTTGGCCACGGTCCAGGGTACAGACATACAACTGCTGTCAAACCTCAACCTATCCTATCTGTTCTTGGCCGGATACACGTCACACAACCGAATACAGCGTCAGGGTCCGTGCAAAAGAGAAGTAAAAATAACTGGTAGACAACCCATAAATAATGCTCGGGAGATATGGTGCTGATTTCCTTGCAGGTCGCCTCCTCTGCAAGGCTCGATTGCGTTTCTCACAAATAGCTTGATGCCGATCTGGTGTTTTGATCTCTGCATGAACCGCTCTTTCGATAATAGTAGCTTGGACGAGGTTAGCGCCTCTCAGCCGATCACACACGATGCCTCATGACGATCTGGTGTTTTGATCTTTACATGAACAACTCCTTCGACAGTAGTTGATGGACGAGGTACTGCCCTTCTGGTTCCTCCAGGTAGATTTTGTTCCTCAGATTATTCTGTAGATTGTTGACAGCCTCAGCCTGCATCTTGTTGCCTTCTTTCAAAGCAACTAGGACTCTAGAAAAACAAAAAAAGCCGTTTGTCCTCTAAATCTATACTATAATTTATATCTATATCTATCTATACTATAAATCTATTCTATCATATCATCACACTATAAAAGGGTGAATAATTTGTAGGGGGCTATCCCTCTTTCATAACCGTTTGATCTTGACACCGTTTCGTATAAGTCTTGTGTCGTCTGAGATCTTACTCTCCCTCGTTGATAACCGTTCGATCTATACGCTGTGTCGTATGAGCCTTTCATTATCCGAGATCTTATAGCGACTCCCTCTTGGTCACGTATCAATAATACAAGTACCGGTCATTGCGTTACAAATCCTATTCCGAGACCTGGTAGTAACGTGTACGCATGCAGGCGCTTCCTCTGCGTGGACTCTAGCACGTTGGCAACCAACAGTCAATCAATTTTATTTCCTTCAAAGCTCAGACTCTAGCATATAGCTAGCTGCAACATACGAGGCAAGCATGAAATCCCATCGGCATGCTTCAATATATATTATATCATCCTTTCCTTATAACCACTACTAACCTTTGCCTCGTCCTCCTCCTGTAGTGGTGGATGACGAATTCGTATCCAACTGAGGCGTTTCGTTGGTTACCAGGAAGAAGAATTGATTATTCTCGTACCTGATTTTGCAGCGTAACCCTAATATTCTCCCGCCCACCCTCGCCTTCCCCTTGTCCACGAACAAAGCCGACATCTGGTGGATGAGGCCCGTGAGGCACCATGGACACTGCACCGGCGTCAGGTCCTGCGTGCACTGCCCGAGCGCGAGCACGTTGGTCGCCTCCGGCGGGAACCTGGCAATGGCCGTGTCGTATCTGCTGGTCGCGTTGCTGGCCACGACGGCCACCATGTTTATGAACCCCCTCGAGCAGACTAACGAACGCGTCGACGTTCCTGCCGCTCACGCTGTTCATGTTCCATGCGACCACCAGGTCTGCGGAGTTGTCGTAGCTAGAGAACCGGAACAGGCACTGATCGTAGTACACCGCCGCATCTCTGGATCTGACGCAGATGGCGGACAGCGCGAGGCTGAGCCCCAACGCGAGGCACGAACGCACTGGTCGCCGAGGAAGTCCCCGCGGCAGCGCAGGAGCCCGAATGCCCGCGACGCGAAGCCCGACGCCTTCACATTCCCTGCAAGCTCGTAGGAGATAATGGCAAGGTTGGCCTCCAACGTGAGTAGTCGTACGTGGAGTTGCAGATGTAGGAGAATGGTCCGGCAACCCCGTCGCCTTGCCATCGCTCGGCTCCGTCACCAACGTCGTCGAGGCAGCGCCGACGAGGAGGAGGATCGAGCAAGGGAATAAGCATCACGTGCATCTACTGCATAGTTGGGGAGGCTAGTGGTGATCTGATGCAGATGCTGCTGATAGCTATGTGCGTAATTTGCTAGTACTATAAAGAGTGAAAGAATTGAAAATATATTGTCATGTCACCAGAAAAACTTTCTACATACCTTATATTGGCGGATAGAGCCGTAAAAAAAGAGGGCAGGAACATACAAAACACCCGTGTTTCACATGGCGGATAACTTCTGGTCTCCGTTTTTTCTCACCCGCGAAACTTTTACCTACCCACACCCGTCCGCTTACACTATCTTCAACAACAACACCTAAAATATAAGACACATTCAACGTTTAGGTAGCACTAAAGTCAAAGAGTTCAATAACCATTCGACATCCTCTCTAACAACAGGACCCAAAAGAGAATTCTTTTTACAAATGGATTTTTAGGAGAGGATACTCATATTTATGTTGTGCTCTCTCAGACAACCCAAAATAGGTCTCCCATATAGGTACTCTATTAGGCTAATTTTATATCCCCTACCACTTATTTTAGGTTTGGTTGGCATATGGGTCACCAGACAGTCTTACCCCTCTCGATTTAGACCGCCCCCTCCATCCCCTCGCTCAACCGCCGCTCCCCTGCGGCGGCGCACCCTCCGACGCGACCGCTGGACGCTGGGTGTCCACTCCGCCCGCGCCGCCGCCGCTCTACTCCGCATCCTGACCCTTCCACAGCGCCTCCTGCAACTGCCTCCGCAACGGGCCGCCCGCTGCTCGCGCCGCTCTCCTGTGCGCCCGCGCGCTGCGGCGGCGCCGTCGTCCCGAGCATCGACCTCGCTGCCGCCAGGGGGCGCTTCTCGGCCATCCTCTCCGAACTCGCCTAGATCGGCGGCCACCCCACCCCCACCTCCGCTGTGTTTGAGCCATCGACCATGACATCCGCTGCCCTAGCCCGCTGCACCTCCCTCCAACACGCTCTGGGACCTCAACCTCTGCCACAAGGTGTTTGACGGAATACCCTTAAGGTAAACAGGGGTCTCCATGTGTGTGCCATGAATCGCTGGCTATATGGCTATATGTCTGATCTTGTTTTGGTTGTGTTTCTGATCTTGTTTGCAGTACTAGCCATCAAGATCACTGGCTAATTTCCCAATTTGTAGGTCCAATTTATCACGAGTCAGAGGAACTGTGTTCTAGATTCGATCGATGGGCGGCAACGCAAGGCTGTGCGTAGCTGTAAAACATGAATGACCATGCCTGCTACTGTCCCCTATACTCTTTCATCAGACTGCAGGGACGTGAGAATTTTTCGCTTTTGTTTCCCGATTTTTTTGATGTATGATTTGGATATGGTTAGGAGCATTTTTCCAACAAAGACTGGCTTCATGAACCTTTCCATTTTTCAGATGGGGTCAAGCTCAGCAATGAAATTACTGCTAAACTAACATTGTACAGTAAGAGAAAGTTATAATAAATAAGTCATTGAGTTTAGTCCTGTAAGAGAGAGTTATAAGTCCAGTTCCGTTTTTCTAACAGGAAGGTGATCTATAATAAACGAACAGTAGTGATATATATTGGGGATATACGAAAGCCAGTCTCAAAAAAACTGGAAGGGGTCGTGCATGCTTTGCTTCTTTTTTCCCTAGATGCCTAGATGTTTCAATAAAGTATTTAATAGTTCAGGTTACATGCTAGATGTGGTTACAGGGAAAATATTTGTGCTCAGAGTATCCTCCTGCTGGCATGCTTGAATGAAGTTTTGGTACTGCTGACTGCCTACATTATTGAGAGATAGGCATGCCCAATTTCTTTTTTTCAGCAGATTTTATAGATTATAGGAATCTGAATTCTTATGCAGCAGTCCATTATACTGTGAGTTATGTGAGTCTTATTGGTGTGCAGGTTGATAGCCACACATAATTTTTTAAGAACCCTAGAAAATATTTTTAAACAATTTCTTCAGTTGGTACTTGGTAGGCCTTTTAGTTATCCTCAATCTATGGCACAGAATAGACATTCCCATACAGAAAAAAGGAATACAGCCCATGGCGGCTACCTCAAATGTATGGATTTGTACAATTGGGAATTATCATCTTCCCAAGTTGTGTTATAGTCATGGAGTCTGATGAAATAAACTTTTCTTGGATCTTGCAATCCGTTCAGGTTGTGAAATATGTTGAATGCATGAAAATAACGGTGTAATGTCCCTTTGTTTAGTAAATAAACTTTAGAATTAGCTGTTAGTGAATCTTTGCATACTTTTGTGCAAAAACAGAAACACATCCCTGAATTCAGCATATAAGAGTGCCAACACGCCAACAAATACTTGAGTGGCTCTCATTGCTAAGCTCTTTCCCGACTGCAACAACAACATTCAGGTATAGGTGCCTTTTCTTTTGAGCCATGGCAGCATGTATCTGTGCTTCTGGGTTCCTTCTGGCGACATGTTATTAGTATCATTCTGAACATGAGGTAACCCGCTTGTTTATATGCACTAATGTTACTATAATGTTGGCCTGTTTATCTTGGGTTTGCTGAAATCCTGTCGCAAATTATCATGGTTGGCTACACTTTCTTGTCTTGTAGAGCTATGCATGTGCCACAAGGTATACTTCCACAATCAAACTCTTATGTAGGGGTTAGAGTTGAGGTCGAGGAGCCTGGCAGAGATGACATGATGTAATATCCTATTTTAACAAATTTCCTACTGCAGGTGCGATAAGGACGGCGTGTACAGCCGTCCACGAGGCGACTGGTGGTCACCGTAGGGATCTGCAAGGGGATGGCCTACGTGAGTCCGTGGGAAGGCAGAGAACGTGTGTGCTGGTGTACTTGCATTATAGAGTTAAAGATTACTTTCAGATTACAAATCAGAGTTAAAGCTTCCTTTCAAAATTCAAAACAGAAATGTGTGGGTAGAAATGATCTTTCTCATGTTTTGTTCATCTGTCAAAAAATGAATGGGATGACCTATAAATTGGTACAGGTAGTAGCTAGCTGCAGTGACATTGCAATTGCAGAGAAGTAGCTACCTGCAATGGCATTGACTTCACATGTACTGTTAATTGAAACTTTGTTGATGCTGCTACTCGCAAGAAAAGTCATATTTTTCTAAATCAATAATAGGGACATAATAAGATAGTATGCAATATGTCATTGCTTAGATCCATTATACTTTCTATGCAATATGTCATTGCTTATATCCATTATACTTTCTACATGACATACAAAATCATTTAGGGGCCGTTTGGAACTTTGAATCCTTTCATTTGGAGGAATAGAAATCTACTAAATAAATTAGGCTATTTGGCTTGGAATTTGACATACTACTACTTTCCAAAGTTCACATATAAACTTATCTTAAATTCATACGGTGGGAAGTGAAAATTGATTTTATAGATCACCATCACTTTATAAAAATAATATACAAATATAATCCATGTACAACCATATTAGTTTAATTAACACGTGTTTAAATTATGATTATTAAAATAAATTTAATTCTAAAGATCTAAACAGGGCCTTAAAAAAATTACATATTGTTTATGAAATGATTTTCATTTACACGTGCGTGCTGCACATGCATGTCCACTAGTAAGTTTAAAAGAAGAGAATCACAAACCCTTCTGGCTGAGTCCGCCGTCGTGAACTCCTTCCAAGAATGCAAAGACACAGCACTGATGCTTCAGTAAACAGGTATGGAACAGACCAAATTTAACAAACCCAATCAAAACCAGACTTGGAAACCGCAGCGGCGGTCACTCACCTCGATCCTGTCGAGGTTCCCCTGGTCGAGCACCTTGAGGGCTTGTTCGGTGCACTGGGTTTAGTACCCCAAGGGGATTTAAACCAGAAAGGGATTGAGTTAATCCCCTTGTGTCAACCCTGCCCCCCAAATGTAACATCTACACTATACGTTCCAAGGTACAGAAGTTGTATTATTCTCAACCAACATACCAAACTCAGAAATACAAATAAATACAAGCTTCTTTTTTCCCATTGTAGTACAGTAGTGGTTCCTACTGTACAGGAAACAGGGTCATGTATAGCCTAGATTCTTTTTTCAAAAGTTATCACTGCCTTCAGAAGTCAAAACTCAGAAGTATGAAGATACATGATACCCTACGAACAGGAAAATAAATGTAGACTAAAAAAGAGGGGAGAAAAAGAGTTAGCCGCTCAAAATGATTCAGGTAAAGCATGAACCTGATCTTTCTGTACAGTTAGAAAAAAACGGTGCACATTCTCTTCATGATATATCCCATGTGATGCTCAACAGTCTACTGTCAATTGAACACGTCAGCAAGGCCAACTCTTGAACTGGTGGGTGCAAAACGTACGATGCTTCGGCCTCTATCGTGTTGGCTCCCACACTGCTATAACACATCAATCAGAGATGGTTTTCAGGTTCCTTAATGGGTGTTATTTTCCTACAATTTGCAGACATTGTTCTTCCTCATTGTTTCAATGCTTCCTGCTATGGTTGATCCAGCAGTCCCCACAAATCCTAGTGATGCGCAGCTACAAACAGATTCTTCAATAGACAACAAAATTTCTGGCAGTTGAACAGGGTCGCAATCTTTCTTTGTGCTCTCTATAATTTTTGGAAGTAATCCAGACCGAACACCATGTTCTGCAGCCATAAGCTTTTCTGAAGTTTGCAGCACTAACTCATCACTTTCCTTCAGCATGTACAATTTATATCGCTCATCTGTTGCAACATTTGCAAGAAAGGTTTTGGTCCAGTTTGCTGGTGGAAGATCAGTCATGATGAACATGTGAATAAGGCCACCAGTCTTGTTTCTCTTCATTTCTAACTCAACAGCTTTCAACTTCTCCTTGAGGGCAGAGAATGTAGCTTTCCAGTGATTTTTGAATTGCCCATCTAGCAACCTAAGTTGTGCACAAAGAAAGGGTTCCTTGATGTTGTTCTTAGCAAATTCCTTCCCTGCAGCCATGATCTCCGGGGCAAAAGGAAGAAACTCAATCTTATCTAGTACCCTCTGTATTCTTTGGTCCTTAGGCGATTCATGGATATCAAAATAAGACTCAGATCCCCTGTATGGTCCTGAGAAGAGTGTCCCAAATGCCAACACGGTAGCATCCTCGGCTTGTGAACCAGGCCCTAAAGCCTTGTATATATCTCTGCGTCTCCGGATGTATGAGATCTTCTTCTTCCTTTTCAATTCATCATCTGGTTGAAACTGATCCAAGGCCCCATCATCATCCTGTTGGTATGTCCATACTGTTGTTCTACAGTCGTCTTGTACAGGATAGACACAACCTTTTTCACTGCCTCCTAGACCAGACAGCAAAGAACGGCATCTATTGTAGTCATCTGGCATAGAGCTACCGCCAGAAACAGCACAGCACAACCGAGAAAAGCAAGCCTTCCGCATGTCTACACCGCACCACAGGGAGACAAAAACCCTGAAGTCAATAGTCCTAACCATAGATTTGATTGAGGATAGATCAACTATGTCACCCATCGAAACATACCTGAATTTTAAACAAATAAGTATTAGCAATCGGTCTTTCTGATTATCATTATCATGTGTACAGTCCACAATGAACTTTTGAAATCAATTATGCACAATATGAAAAGTGGTTAATCCAGGTGTGCACGACATAATACTACTTCACTATACCTTCCAATCGGAAATAATTTTACCTCCTTTCCGTCAATAAAGGAAACTGAGTGGTACCATGTGATCTGCTATCCTTGAAATAGCTCAAGTTCTGATTTAGTACTTTATTCTCGCCACATTGTTCCATCATTTGAGCCATTTCACATAAGCAAGGTGCAAGCAAAAGGTGTAGAACAAATTCGAATGCAAGCAATTTCTGCTACGCCAGAGACCAAACAAAGTCGGTTAAGTCGAATGCTAAGTGCGGTCTTTACCTCCGGTCCAGCAGGAGTTGCATGGCGTGGTCCCAGACAGCAGCACGCAGCGAGGCAGGATCGGTGACCCTGAACTTGGGGCAGCTCCCGAGGACGACGGCGTGGTGGTCGAGCACGGGGGGCACGACGAGAGTGCGGTTCAGCAGCGCGGCTGCCACCGCGGCGTTCCGGAACTCGCCCACCTGGTTGCTGAACCCGCTGTGCGGCGCGTACCACAGGAACCTCTCGCCCTCGAGCTCCGCTGAGCCCCCGCACCGGGGACGGGGAGTGTCGGCACCGCCGGGGGTGGAGGGGACAGGGAATAGGGCGCGGAGCATGGTGGAGTAGGCGGATGAGAAGAGGAGGGAGGTCGGGAGGAGGAGCAGGAGAACGGCCACGACGAGAGGCAGGTGCGACCGGGCGCTCCGCCTGCGCCACCGGCCGCGGCTCGCCGGCAAGTCCATGACCGGCGACTTGGAGATGGGATCTGACGGCGGTGACGGGAAAAGACGGGGTGAGCCGAGAGAGAACACACGGGAGGCCTTTCACTGTGGGCCGCGAATGTTTGCACGCGGACCTGATCCACGGAGGTTGGGCCCCGACCCCCGACCCCGGCCATTCCCGGCCCAACCGAACATGCCCTGAACAGGGCGAAACCCGTGGGGGTCACGAGCTGTTGAGATGGCTTGCTGAGACTGAGGGAGGGTTGGGAGGTATATTAATAATAAGAAAGTTTTGTGTATATAGACTCAAAAATTTGACCTCGATACAAGTGGGCACTGGGCAGAGTTGGCCACGATATAGGGTACAGACATGTATTATAGTACAACAAATGGTGAAACCTCAACCTATCCTACCTGTTCTTGGCCGCCGGATACATGTCACAAAACAAATAGGGGAGAACAAAAAAATGATCTAGTAAACTATCCGTAAATAATGCTCGTGAGATTTGGTGCTGATCTCCTTGCAGGCCACATCCTCTGCAAGGCTCGACCGTGTTTCTGAAATACGAATAGCTCCATGCCGATCTGGTGTTTTGATCTCTACATGAGCCCGCTCTTTCGATAGTGGTAGCTTGGACGAGGTACCGCCCTTCAGCCGATCACACACAATGCCTCATGCCGATCTGGTGTTTTGATCTTTACATGAACAACTCCTTGGATAGTAGTTGCTGGACGAGGTACTGCCCTTCTGGTTCCTCCAGGTAGATTTTGTCGTTCAGATAATTCTGTAGATTGTTGACAGCCTCAGCCTGCATCTTGTTGCCTTGTTCTTTCAAAGCTGGTAAAAAGCACCGTGATATTACATCCAGGATCTTCATGAACTGTGATCCATATTTCTTGTGAAGTGCAAAACCAGCCATCTGAAAGAGAATAAGAACCCCGATTAAACACATGGCACACAAACAGGAGGTCTCGAGGCAGATTCCTACCTTGAGGAAAGCGTGAAGGGCACAGGCAGTGGCTGTAGTAGCTGGGAGAGAATTGAGGAACATGGCAAGCCATTTCCATCCCTCAGCTAAGCCATGAGGATGACGTACACCTTTGATTTCCGTCTGTAAATGAAGTTAGGGAGTCACCTTTCTGTTGTACCGAAATAGGCCAGTCTACTGGACATAGGCTTATATCTTATGAAAATTCATCAATTCAGATAGATGAAGGTATAAAATAAGCACGCAAGAATACTGAGAAAAGAAGTGCACACACCTGAATCATTGCTGCATACAGTTTGACGTACGCAACGACGTATGTTAGATAACTTTCAGTGCTCTCGAGTTGTCCATTTTCTTCCTGGTAACCAATCAGCCTGTAATAATCTCTAGTTCGTGCTTGTGCCTACAAAATCACAGATATCATGAGAAAAAAATTCCAAAGCTTAAAAAATCATATAAAACAGTGGGTGACAGTATGACACAGCTTGGTCCACAAATCTGTTGCATACAATTGTTAAAAATGCATTAGAAATAATTCTGAGCATTTCTTATAATCTCTTGGGGTGTTTTCTCATCACATCCCACATAAGAGTCGGAAATAAACAAATTCCAAATATATTACAGAGTTCATACCATGCAGACTTACATTTAAAGCATGCAGATGCTTTGGAACCGTGTATATGCAAACTCTGTTGAACTCAGCTAAAAGATAATCCATTGCGTCTGGCACCTGACCAATCAGACACATCAGATGTGGTCATGAAAGGAAATGTCTCGATGCTAATCTTAGCAATTCTTGTTAATATACAAGTATCACAAGTCATAATAAATAAGAAATTCCTTCAGGTTGGTGACCTAGTGTTAATTAAATTAGACTTCAAGCAAGTTCACAAGTGTCCCGAGTAGCAAGTCATATAGGAAATATGAAAGGTCATGTCATCTTGGCACATGGCAATGGCAGCTGGATTTTATCACGCAGCTGGTGTCACTGACATCAAGATCCATGAATATATTCAAATTTCTAATGAATCGGATGCAGACACATAAGACACACTTAGTCCAGCTGATATGTTCCATCTTATTACAACACGATTGCAAGCTATTCGTGATCTGTCTGGAGTACATGTTTGGATGAGATGGCAGTATCATTTCCAAGCTTCAAACTTAACCAAAATAGAAGTTCCACGCAATTTATTCCTCACAAATAAGTAGTAAAGAAGACTTGCCTACCAGAAGCAACCAGTTTTAAGTATTAGTATAAAAACCAAGATTGCAATATGTGCTTTTGTGCTTTACAAAATATGCCGGGTTTTCAATGTAGTATATTCAGAACATTCAGGTCAAAAGAATCTAAGACAATGATCAGCACTAAACTAACACCACGGTATTGCTAATAAGAATTCAATAATGCATAATGACAAATGACAAATGGTATTTTGAGGAATGACAAGAAGAAACCTGGTTTGTGACTAATAGCATGACATATCCACATGCAAAGGCCAAATTTCCAAACGTTTTGTCCTTTGTATTTCTACTCTTGACAATTGAAATAATCTGCAAAGCATACTAGGTTAGTTATGTGAGTCAATAAATATTGAGCAAAATTTCATCATGCAAGAAAAAAACAAATGGTAGGATTATTAAGTGTGGTAAGGCCAAGAAATCCTAATGAGTAGGTAAAGATGTTTAAGCCTTTAGGACCTACTGGCAACTAAATGGGAAGGTACACTCAATAGTAGAATACCCTTTGAAATAACTGAAGTTATGCTGCTAGCTACCACTCCCTTCAATCAAATATACAAGACATTTAGACTTGTGCAAAAGAAATAAGAGTCTGTGTGAAATGACCATGTGAATCATTGATCCTTCAATAAGTAACTAGGTGGGAGCCATGGGAAATGGAGATGCTCCTAAAAGAGAACATTTACTGTACCAAACTAAAGATGGAAAAGTGCTTCAAAAGTGTAGCACAACTTATAATTTCGTGAAGAGTGGGGACTGGGCAAGGCAACTTATATTTTGGAACAGAGCAGTACAGATGCTTGCACCCACATTGTTCAAAATGTTCACTCTTGATAATATGTGCTTGTATGCCACAAGCAATAAGACATAGGCTGTAAGCCTATACCCATGCATGAACACAAGTCACTAAAAAATCGAGTTACAAAAATAGATTCACACATTTGTCATTCCACATCACAAAACACTGACTGTGCTACTAATTTAATGAAAATTATTATATAATAAATATAAAGTATCTACCTTGTTTGCAAATAGACAACAAGAGATTGTACGGGGACAATCCTGTCCATCTAAAGCTTTAATAAGCTCACTGGCCCTTGCTCTGCACCAAAATTATATACAATTGGAAAATCAAATTACACTCAGATAAATTATCCACATCAATATTTCTGAATAACAGGCAGATCACTATTTATTCGCATGATGTGTAACAAATGGTGATAAAGAGGACGATAAGTGAAAAATAAAGCAGAAAAAGAAACGTGGAAGTATGCCCATGCACTGGTGGCACTAGGTCCAGGCAGTAGCCAAAAAACGATCTAGCTTATTGTTTCAAGAAAAGACCTGCTTCATTGCTATTGGGCTGCAAGACAAAAATTGCACATAACAAAAAACCATGATGTCTAGCAAGTTTACTTTAATGACTTAATCCTCATGGCTCAATGCATGGGGGTTAGAAGGAACAAAATGCGGCACCTGCCAAGTTTGAAATTAGAATAAAAATTAAGTATTACAAAGGTATATTGTTAAACTGACTGTCTATCATACTACAAACAAGCACTTAACCTTATGTTCATGAATTTAAAATTTCCATAATCAACTCAGTTTACAATTATCACAGTAGCGTAGCTTTCAGATAGTTTATGTAACCATATTCAAGTTAAGCTGTAGTATTGAACTCACCTGACACTGTCAGTAGTTGGCATAAGTTTACTTATGGACTTGGCAATTTGTCGGTCATATTTGCTGAATTCCTGCATGATATGATGTCAGCCAGAGTATACAAGTTATCAACATACTCATCTATACATCAAATGGTAAGTCATGGAGCAGTCATTATTCATCAGGGTTGTCAAATCAACAAAATTACAGCAAGTTGTTCGAAACTGCAATTAAATATTAAGCTTCAGCAGAAAATAAGACCTTGCTGAGAAGAATGTTTTCCGGCACTTGATTCTGTACTAATGCACGCCTCCGTGACTCTCCTTCTAATGCATATTTATCGGCAAAAACTTTGATACCTACCATGAAAGACCAAGTTATTAAACATACAACAGACAAGTAGTGTAGCTGGGGGAAATAACAACATGCGTAGATGATGATATACTTCATACAAATACAGAATTGTTAGTATACTATAAGTGTAGAGAGAATATATGTGCAAATAGCACCAGAGTTTCCACTTCCTTCTCTTTCTGGGTATGTGCTCGCATAATGAGTGCTTGACATTAGTGCAGCAGAATCGTTAGCATGGTTTCTTAGATTATGGGGAATTGTATCTTGATAGAACAAGCTTGCACTTTGCATATTTATCTAGTGGCTAGATCCTATAGAACAATAGGGCGTACCCAGTGCAGAGAGCTCCCGCTCTGTGCGGGGTCTGGGGAAGGGTGTCAGTGGCAAGCCTTACCCTCGCCTGTGCAATACGAGGAGACCGCGACTCGAACCTGGGACCTTCCGGTCACAGGCGGTAAGACTCTACCGCTTGCACCAGGCCCGATAAAAGATATATAACTGAATGATTGATGCCCGTACATAACTCCATCTTAATTGTAAATAAAATAGGGTAAGGTTGGTAAATGCAGGGGTGAAGATATGCTTGATACTGTAGAAGACAAGTTAAATGAGTTTTAAAATAGGAAGTTAAATGTTAAAGAAAATAAACTGGAAGTTATAAACTGATGAATGGACTATCAGATGATCATAGGCATTGCACAATTGCAACTCCAATTTCTGTAACTAAGTGCCAACCCAACAGATACTAAACCTTATTCACGAAAAGCACAAAGTGGTACTGATTTCCTTTCAAATGATTTCAGCTTGAATGAGATTGGATATGGTACAATATCTATTAGGAAAATCAGTACAAGAACTTAGAACAGTACTACAAATATTAAGTTTGTGATCAGTTCTTTAAACAAAGAGTACCTGCAATATTATTCTGGGAATTTGGACTAGATTGGGAAGCTGCTGCATCTCTCAATTTAGCAGCCTCCTTTTCCGCTGCTTCCTTGTCTGCTGCTTCCTTTTTAGCAGCCTCAAATGATGTTTTCCGTGCTTCAGCTGCTAATTTTGCAGCTTCCTTCTGCCTAGCCTGCATCATAGTTGATGACCTTTCTTATTAGCTACAAGGGCCTTTGAGACTAGTTGACTACCAGTGAAGCAAAGCAAGACTGGTGGTAAGCAAATCTTCAAAATGAAAAAATGAAAAGCAACAGGAATAGCTGAGGGGGGGGGGTACAATAGGTGCAATCAAAAACTGATGGAACTCAAAACATTTACTCTGGTTAATATCAAATCCACTCCAATATTACAACAATGAACTAGTCTCGAAGATCCTAAGCCCCCAAATCAAAATCGTGTGTAATTATGTGCAGAAAAAAAGATGTGTGATACAACGAATCTGAGCAATCAAACCTCTGCTTCTTGCCGGGCTCTTTCCTGCCTTAACTTTTCTTCCTTGACAGCTTGCTCTTTTCTTTTAGCTTCTTCAAGAGCTGCATCATCTCTTATTCGACGTTCAACAATCTGGGATTTTTGTTCATGATCCCTTTGGACCATAGATAAGTGTTTATCGAGTACTTCTGCACTACAAGAAAGCAATAGGATAATATAATACTGAAGACAATAAAAACTGTCAATAAATAAAGTACTACAAAGTTGCAGGTATACAACATAATTCATCTGATTGCTTTTATAAGTTATAACCCATCTTTTAGAGACAACATACATGGTAGGATTTCCTGTCAATTTTTCCTCCTCGATTCTTTTTCGTAGCTAATAGAATGGTACCATTCTCATGAATGAACCATATTTTGTAATGCATAGTTAGAAGGAACTATGGTCCTTTAGTACATGCACAAGCCCAGTATCAGTGTATCACAAATATTTGCAACTGGAGGGGGTATATCCTATGACATCTCAACTAAAAAGTTTGAAAAGAATAGTAAGCATAGTCTAAAAGGTTAATTTAGGAATCTGAAGAATCAATGGTTAACTTTAAACAATGCAATAGACACAAATTCCACATCAGTACAAAGCTAAGGAATCAATATGACCGACTGTTTCATAACACAAAGATAATTCATAAAAACGGCTCCTTAAAACAAAAACACAATTGGAGTGGATAGAGTAAATGGCACTTATCTCATAACTCAAACACACACAGCATGGTTATGAGGGATAGAGTAATAGAAGTACTCAACAGAACATTGAACTCAAAACTTGAGCTATCTTATCACTTATCAGAGTGAAGCCTTCAATCAATCTAATAAATATAACGTATAAGAATTTTGCATGTAAGTACAGCTTATCTTCAGGTTGTGAAAAGAAGTACACTGAAAGCAAGTTCCAGCAGCCATTGTAATATACTTGTCCCTTTGAAACAGAAATAAATTGAATTTGCAACCCATAAGGCCATGAAGAGATAGAGTAACTTTAAAGGACAATCAGCACTCTAAAACAATGGAGTAAGCGATTAGCTCAATACTGACGACAACAACAGGTACTAACAAAAAGAGAAACTGCTACTATGAAGCTTATTTTGGATACAGACATTGGAATAGTACAAGAAATGCTTTGTGCCTTAAATGTTGCTCACTAAACAAATGTAATGTTTCTTTGGTATTTGGAAAAAAAATATGGAAATTGCAATGAATATTGAATACTTCAAGAAATGAAGAGACATCTAGAAAGGTACATACATTCTTCTCTGGAAGTGTACATCGAGTCTTTTGTCTATCTCTTTTCTTGATTCTGCATATTTCTGAAGTCGTGCAAATGCAGAAATTGTTCTCTGAATTTCATTTTGGTGGCATACCTCCAATGAAGCTAGCTTATTTCTAACTTCTTCCTGAAGAACAAATACCATACATGATGAAGACAGGCATTTAAATAGATAAACAATGGGGTCCAAGAATGGTCCTTCATTATTAAAGCAAGAATGGAAGAGAATGCTGTAATTGGTGGGGATGTTTTTAAATTCAATGTCATAAAAATAACCAATGTTATTAAATCATCCAATAAAAACAATGTCATCAGTGAACCTAGTGCCCTGCCCTTTCATACTTTCAAGTTTGACCTGTTTTGCCTAGCTTGAAAAATATTTTTCAAATCCTAGAGAAATTAAAACCAACAATTGTATGGCACAGGCATATCAGCAGCTGCTAGAAGAGTGATATAACATGGTTATGAACTAACATGAGTAAGATTGCTTCCCTGCTATCGTACTTCCTGGGCCTGAATCTTTTCGATGTGACATAAAAATAATGTTGTAATTGAAAGTATGCTCAAATTGATACCAAACTGACTAAGCACTTCTTCGATACAACCCAGAAAGCAAAAGCACAATGTCAACATCAATTCTTCATGGAACTCTTCATTATTGCAACATGGGAGATATGAAAACAAAGAAATGATCAAATCTTCAGAGGAAATCAAGCTTCCTTCGAGTCTTGGAAATCATGTTTTGTACATACATAATGTAAAGCTTCATTTCCACAAATTTAAGCCTGTTCCTAGACTCAACCTCTCCCTTTGGCTAAACAGCCTGTTGTAAAGTTTCCTAGTTTACCCTTGATGTGTTTGTATTGCTTACTCTTTTTATATTTATATATATAATACCACAGTAGGGGTTTCCCCTACTGTATTCCCCTAAAAAAAACTAAGCCCTTCTTTTTCCTGCATATCATGATGCATTTTATGCTCGAAATATAGACGAATGTTTTTATTCATCCATACAAGTGTGACGTATCCAGAAAGTATGAAGGGAGCCAAAGCGCTCCATTCAAAATTTCTTGCAGTATAACTTTAGCCAGATAAACATAAAAAGAGTATGTGCAAGTATCTGTATTCCATTGTTTGGATCAATAAAAGAATATTATCAAATGCTAAGCATAAAGAGAACCTTATTATGAACCTAAACTGCAATGAGGACACAACAAAATCCAATGGTTTATCACAAAAACATGCAGGCAAAACATTATAAATGCTCAGTACACACTTGAACTTTTAGATGATGCTCGCGTTCCAGCTCAAGAAGAATGCTCTTCGCTAGGTCCCTTTTCTCCATTAAGTGGTATGGGGCAACCTGGCCATCTAATTCATCCTCTGAATCACTGCAAAGAAACAAAAGGGACATAACTAACAAATTATAGCATGCATAAAGTCATCAGGGAAGTTTCTACAGTTTTGGAAAGGGGGGAAAAACATGCTACAGAGCATACTTAATGGTCCAACGGGATCCTTATGCTTCATAGTTTGTCCTAAGACAGAAGTTGCCTTCCTTACAATTATCCCTCCCTCTACAGGAAGTTAATCCAGAAACCATGACACAAATTCCATGGAAAAGTGCAATTACATGTACCCAGTTGTAGATCAAAATTCACCTTGATTCGAGATCATTACACGAGAACCTTGCTCCTTTGGCCACAAGAGCCCGGGACTTCCCATGACTGGTACCATCGTCTTCATCTTCTGTGTCGTCTTCGTCATCATCGTCAACCCGCATCACAAAGGCCTTCTCCCTCGTACCGCTGCCGTTAGCCCTGAATTGACCAAACAAAACTAGTCAAACCTCATGGGACGGCAAATCACTAGAGCCAGACGCAAGCGAGAGATTACCAATCCGGCGGCTGCTTCAGGGGTGTGGGCGGCGCAGCGCGGTGGGTGGCGTCCAGCGCGTCAAGCTCGGCGAGCACATCGCCGAGCGTCCAGCTCGGGCGCGGGTCCAGGTCCCTGGGACACCGCAGCTCCACACGCTCGAAGCCCCTGCGGGGAAGGCAAAACAGAGAGGGGGAAGCAGAAAGCAGGTCAGTCACGACGAACAGCCAACGGAAGGGAGGAGAGGCAAGCTGATGAGACAACGGGGCGGGATTACATCGCGGTCGTCCCCGTCGCCGCCGCCCGGTCGCCAGGGAGGTGGCCCTAGGTGGCCAGGGCTCCGGCCTTTCTGGAGCTGTATAGGGTTCGTCCTTGTGCGTTTCGCGTGAGATGCACGCTTTGACACAGGCCGAAACCCAAGCAGCGCAGGAGCGGAGCAGGTGCCGGGTGCGCTTTCAAATCGAATACATTAACTGAAAGGAATCCCCAACGGATTGAAGCAGCCAAGTAGGCGGAGAAGTAGTGCGCGCCGTGATCAGATCAGCGGCGACAACAGCAAAGGAAAATGTGTAGCAAATTCGTAGCGACGGCGGGACAGGACGGTGGCGTCGCCCGGCCTATGCGAGGGCCGGCGGACGCGGCAGTGAGCGGGGCGGGGAGGCGGCTGTGGCGGCGCTCGAATCAGAGGGATGGATACGAATCGACGGCGGACGGCGATATAGGTCGGACCGCCGGACTCCGCAGAGGGGAGAAGCAGCCAAGCAGGGGATCGGCCTCTACTCGCTGGCGCGTCGGGCTGGGTGAGCGCGTCCTGAGCGCGCGCGTAGGGCTCGGCCTGGGCGCGCGGCGGGTGGGCGCCCGCGACTGGTGGGCCAGAGGCGGTCGTTTCGCCGGCGCCGGAGTGGCCGAAGCGCAGGCGGCGGCGTCGGGTCTCGCAGGAACTCGCCGCGACCCCGCGCGACTCTGGAGTTCTCGAGGAGACGAACAGACAACAGAGAAGCCTAGGCTCCTTTCTTTTACAAACAGGGCCGCCGGATAGCTGGGCTAGCCATGGGAAGGGAGGCTGGGCCTCAGCCCTCTCGTGAATTTTCAAGCTAATTGGCAAACTGGGCTGCTCCTGCTAAAAAGAATAGCTAATTGAATTTAAGCTTCCCTAAAAAAAAGCTAATTGAGTTTAAGCCTTTTTCTGTCATGGTTTTCAGAGACTATATATATTGCTAGAAAATGCATAATTCTTCTCACGCCGAAGCATCCTTGTTTCAACTGCATCGCACAGGTTCTTTTGGCATCTGGAGTCGGATTTGTTTTTTGATCTACTCAAACAAGCAGCCGGTCCTTACCGCACCCTAAGAATATGGGTAAAATTGATATATATAAATCAACGCGTACCGGTAATAATTAACAATCCACTCCTAAAACAATGTTAACCCTTTTAAAAGTACATAACTACGAGCGGTCTATAAACTTGCACGATGGTGTATCATGTGAGTCCTAGCTCTCAGATCTTGATATTTGAGTATCCAAACTTGTATGATAATGTCATCCGGATCTTTGGCTCTCAAATTTTGATATTTGGTGTCCTCAGCTGTCAGAGGTGTTATTTAGTTCCTAAACGTCTCACGTGGCAGCATAGGTCCAAATTTGTGTATCATCCGAGTCCTAGCTCTCGGACCCATATTTGGGTACCCAAATTTGTATGATAATGTCGTCCGGATCTCTAGCTCTCAAATTTTGATATTTGGTGTCCCCAACTTGTCAGCGGTGTTGTTTATGTCCTAAACTTGTCTCGTGCAGCGGAATGGGTCCAAATAGGCTCAGACCCACTCCATGTGCTAACATGATACAGTTACTATGTGTTGATGTGGACTCGACGTGTGCGGCCTAGGTGTCAACATCGCTCTTCTCACTCTCAAGCCGCCTCCTTCCTCCGCCTTCCATACTGCACCTTAGCCATAGCCTCCCCACTGCCAAATCCAGGGAGGGGACTGCCAATGTAGCCAAGGTCAAGAACCTTTTGTTGAACCATGACCTCGCCATCATCGGTAAGCTAAGCAGAGAGGGGAGATGGTTGATACGTGAAGAATAGAGGTTAGAGAGAGGGGGACGCTGACACATGCATGGGTCCCACATGTATGCCGGGTCTACGTCAACACATGGGCGACATGCCACGTCGGCGCATGGAACAAGTCAGAACCTGTTTGGACCGGTGATGGCATCCATGACAAAGTTCAGGTACCTAGATGATATCATCATAAGTTCAAGGACCTTAACATTAAAATTCAAGACTTGGGGACCCAAATGAGACCACCATGCTACAAATTCGGAGACTAAGGCCCCCTCTAGCAGGGCAATGTTGCAACTACATATTAAATCAAGTTGTAATTGAGTAGTAATTCATGTTGCAACTAGATTAAAAAAAATCATGTTGCAACTATATTCCGTGTGCAATATAATGGAGCCAATCCTTTTTGGCCGAGCTCGTGAGTGCACACATGTGAGTGCTCTCGAGAAATGGAGCCTGCAACGATGCTGCAGTGTTGGTGATGAGAGAAGAGAAGATAAAGAGAAGCTAAAATGAAAACATGGCACGGAATATTCACACAATGATGAGTGAGTCACATGTGTCGGTGCCTATCTCAACGAAATTGAAGGTACTGATTTATTGAGTGGGACTGCCAGAACGAAGATCGGAAAACTTGAGCCTCAAAAATACTTCCTCCGATCCATTTTATCTAGCGCAAGTTAGAATAATATGGTCTCCTAAATTACACTTTGACAACTCATTTACTTTATATTATATTATTTATGCTTATAAACTTATAATCATTGGATAGTATAATTCCTACAAATCTAATCATATAAAGTTTGTATTATAATAGTTAAAAATTAGTAGCCTAATTATTGGTAAAAGTTTTTAAAGTTTGAATCTTGATATGCGTGTGCGCTAGATAAAATGGACCGGAGGGAGTAGGTCAAACGCTCATATTAAAAACAAGAATGATTCTTTCCGAACGCGCGCGATTTGGTGCTACGGCATGCACACCCGTCATGGCCGTCCAATTCGCGGTGGAAAGGAGGCCATCTGATTCACGCGGCTCTCCCCAGCGACCGCATGTTCTTCCCCAACTCTAGAGAGCATCTTCCCAAACTCCGGCGGGTTCTCCTCTCTCTTTCTCTCTCTTCTTCCCCAACTCCGGCGGGCTTAGAAGAGAAGGAACTTAGAGGAGGCAGGCCGGCTAGGCGGTGTGGACGACGGGAGGGCGGCATTAGGGTTCTGGCGGTGGCGGAGGCGGTCGGGCCAGGTCAGGGTGCGGGGGCGCTCATGGCCATGGCGGCGGCGGGAGGGGGGAGGGGAAGGAGGAGGCCGTCACGGAGCTCCGGTGAAACCTACGCCGGATCTGGAGACGAACGCGCGGGGAGGAAGAGGGGCAGAGGGGCCGGCGGCGGTGGAGGGCAGGGGAGGAGCCATATCGAGGAAGAAGAAGAATAGAGAGAAGAAGAGAGAACGTGCGGGTGGTGTGGAGTGCATGTGCACGTGTGCATGCTAGCACTGCCCTATTAAAATGGTAGGGACACTGATTTTGGTGGTGCATTGAAATACCCCCATTCATGTCTACATGAGAGCAAGCCCAATAAAATTGTCTAATAGACAAGTCACGTCATGTGTAAACTACTCTTATACATAATTCATACAATGATCAAGGTTCACATATTTTATTTAAAAAAAATACATGGAACCCATCACTAGCACCTTTTTCACCTCTCTCCATCTGTTCTCGTAGGCAGGCAGGAAAAGAATCTTGGAGGCTGTGACTGCTCTCATCCGCAAGAAAAGAATCTCGGGCAGATGAAGAACACCTTCCGGCATGAGTGACCTCGGGCTCCTCTCCTACTACCTCGGCTTGGAGGTCACACAGGAGACCACGGCATCACACTACGGCAAGGCGCCTATGCCACCAAGATCCTCAAGAAGGCGGGGATGGCGGCCTGCAACCCGAGCGCCACGCCCATGGAGGAGAGGCTGAAGCTGCTCAAAGAAGGTTCGACGCCAAGTGTGGACGCCACCGAGTACCGCAGCGTGATCGGCAGCCTGAGGTACTTGTGCAACTCCAGACCCGACCTGGCGTACGCTGTGGGATACCTTAGTCGGTTCATGGGGGCGCCGCGTCAAGAGCATCATGCAGCAGTGAAGCGTGTCCTCCGCTATGTGGCGGGGACGGTGCACTGGGGTGTGCACTATCACCCGGGAGGAAAGAAGGAAGCTGCACCGAAGCTGCTGGGCTACTCCGACAGCGACTTGGCATGAGACGTCAATGATCGGAAGAGCACCAGTGGCCTCATCTTCTTCCTCGCTGGCGGGCCGATTGCATGGCAGTCGGCGAAGCAAAGGGTAGTCGCGCTGTCTTCTTGTGAGGCAGAATATATCGCGGCCGCCGGAGCTGCATGTGAGGCAGTTTGGCTGGCTCGTTTGCTGGCTGAGCTCGTCGGAGGAGCTGTCCACGCGCCCAGGCTCAAGGTGGATAACAAGTCCGCCATTGCACTGATGAAGAACCCTGTGCATCATAATCGAAGTAAGCACATAGACATAAAGTTCCACTTCATCCGGGAATGCTGCGACAGGAAGCTTATCGACGTCGAGTTTGTTCGGCACAGAGCTGCAGCTGAGCGACATTCTCACCAAGGCGCTCAGCCGCGTTCGGTTCCAGGAGCTCCATGGCAGGATCAGCATGAAAGATTTAGTGTAAGTGCTCTAGGACTTAGGAGGAGATTGTTTGAATAAGTCCTGAACATGCTAACTGCTTATAGTTAGAAGTAGATCAGGATAGCTGCTGCGCGCGGTCACCATTGGCTGAGTGCGCACGGGAGTGCATGACGCGCTCTCTCCACAGCACGGCCCAGGGCGCTGGGATAGCAGCGACCAAGCACGAGCGTGCCGTGATCCTCTCGGTCATTCTTGGCCATGTAACACTGCATGTACTTAGTTTATATTCAGATTCAATCAACAGAAAACGCTGCCGCTTCGCAGTCCAAAATTTTCCCTGTGTTCCACTTGTGTTCGCGTGTGTTCATCGACTCTCTCTCTCGCTCTCGCTGTGATCGGGATCCTAACAGAGGTTCCCAATACATCTTCAGATCATCAAATTGCATGGAGGCCAGATTCTGACAACCTTTTGCTTTTTGATGCGTGTGACAGTTTGGCGGCATGGTTATGAATCAGAGGCTCGAACTGTTGATGAAATGGTGCCTCCGGGAGACTTGTGATGCTGGGAAGAAATGCATGAGAATAAACTACCACGGCACGAAGCAAGTCATTCGAGCATTTCTACCTCTGCTGCTGGCTTCTGACGATGGAAGGATAGTCAATGTGTGAATGTGTCCTCAGTGCTTGGCCAGCTCAGGGTACCCAAAGCTATTCAGTCGTTGCCTTATGCTACCTCGTGACATGATCTGAAACCAAAGCTCTTTCAGTAGGCTGCTGATGGGTGGAATTCATGCAGTTTTTTGGCAGCGAGGCGTTGAAGCGGGAGCTGAACGACGTGGAGAGCCTGACCGAGGGGAGGCTGGACGAGATGGCGGCCATGTTCGTGGAGGATCTAGAGGCCGGCGCCGTGGAGGCGCGAGGGTGGCCCGTCTGTTTCTCGCCGGCGTACATGGTGCCCAAGGCGGCGCTGAACGCCAACTCGCGGATCCTGGCGCGGAAGCACCCCACGCTGCGCGTCAACTGCGTGCACCCGGGCTTCGTCAAGACCGACATGACTGTCAACTTCGGCATGCTCACGCCCGAGGAAGGCGGGAGCAGGGTGGTGGCCGTGGCGCTGCTCCCCGCCGGTGGGCCGACCGGCGCCTACTTCGAGGACCGCCAGCAGGCGCCGTTCGTGTGACACATACTCTGCTTCGTTCACCACCGGTGCATAGGTTGCCGAGAAATTTGTGACATAGCTATGCCCCTCGCGGTTTTGAGTTGACACACATTCAATCCCTAGTGTATTATCTACACTACATATAGAAGACCGAATAAATTTAAAAAATATATATAACTCACCTTGAATCCTTCGGTGCTTCTATCCATCTAAGATTTCTTTCTTTAAATTTTACATCTAATGCATCCAATTGATTGCTATTTTGCTATGCACCGGACGGATGAACCTATAGTACACAAGAGACTTTAAACGTGGAGAAAAACTCGTGTCTATCGATCCGTTGTAGCTTGGGGCAACGCCTTCATCTGAGGATCCTTCTTTTTTAACCCACTAGATATATATATACCCGTATGTTGCATGGGGTCACATTTTTTTCCCTACACCTACGGTAGCGACGCACGTGTCTTCTGGCTTTGATAAACATATGAATTGTAGAAATCTTATTACATAGAAGATATAGATCTCGTTTCACGATCTTTATCACTTATATCCTTTAGAATAGTTTATAGAAACCTAACAAAATTGGTTTCACCTTTTTAATTAATACTTGCATGTTATAATTATGTATTTTACAAGTTTAAGCTCATCTGATCATTCCATAAAATAATTAAAAAACTAATAAACAATTTGTCCCCCACTCGATGCGTCGGCGGCGTGGCTGCCCCTTGCGTGGACTCCGATGGCCGGGCCTGCAGCTCCCTCCCTCTCCTAGGCGGTTGGCGCAGCGACCCTCCCTCTCAACGTGCTGGCTCTCGTTGTCCCGTTTCCTCTCTGCTTATTTCTTATTTCTCCCCCTTGTGCCGCAAACACGCCGATCCCGTTCTGCATCAGGGCCGACAACCATATGCTCTACGTCAAAACTCCAATTCTTGTATCAAGGGTGCATGCTCTTGAGCTCAGTACCTTTGAGTATCTGTGGACCTGTGGTCTGATCTCTGACAAGATATTGCACACCTTGAAGGCGACATGCTTTGTAGATCATGTGCTTCTGCCCTGAAGTTGATATCAATTATTTCTTAATTCAGCATAGCGAGAAGCCTAAACTGTTATAGTTTCCTTCAATTTTTTTTGGTGATGTGAGATTCAGAAGAAACAAAAGTACGAAGTTCAGTGAAA